AGCGAGGATTAGGAAATTCCCAAGTCTTGTTGCTTCGTCTTGCCTGTCTCGCCTGTTTAACTTCAGTGGGCATGGAAGTTAATCATAATGAGACAGGGGCGCACACAGCCCCTACAGTGGGGTGCACACCTTCTCCCATGGGGAAAATGGACTCACAGCTGCAGAAACCCTTCATTGTGTATTTCACTGTAAAATGGTGCTGGAGAATTGTAGTGGCAAATGTGATTATCTTTTTGGTTATCTGCAGCCAGTGGTATCAAGCATCGCTAATGCCTACTTGTGAGAGCTTCCAAAGCTTCGCCCACAACTGCCTTACAGAGTTCAGCACAACAGAGCCATGGTTTGCCTACTGAAATTAAAAATACACCTTGCGTTTGGCTTCCTAATCATCAGGTATTTCCAAATTACTTACTGGGAGCACTACAGGAATAAGACATTTTGTGACTAATCGCTGAATTAAATCAGTTAATTGATGCTATTCTTAAGAGAATGATTTTCTATATTAGTTTTCACAAAGATATACTGCACCAGCAGCAAGTAATGTGTGACTGCTATGGCTGTGTTAATTTCCATTGGCCTTGGGAGCTATTAACTACACACTTACAACCTCTGGGCACTACTGGAATATTAATTCTTATACAGAGAGGGTTTCATTACATCAGTGCCAGCATTACAGGCAGAGACACGGACAGGCACTCAAACCTGCTGCTCTCTCAGAGCTACGTGCAATGAGCTCCTGGCTCTGCTACAGCCCCTGCTGAAACAGAGCAAACTGAGTTAACAGTGAGGAGTACATTACATATGCACAAGTACTTCAGTCCTAATGAGATACGGTTTTAACAGTAAGATGCATATGTTTAAATATTTTAATTCTGGGCTGTTTTCCTTTAAATAGAATTTATTCTTAATCCTGCTGGTCCTATTTATTAAAATGTCAGTAATAAAGCTTCTTTCATCTGCGTGCTTCTGCTGGAGGTGTGGGTGACATAGGAAAGGCAGAAATCGGTTTGGGTTCTTAGGATGCTCTCTTCTGCATCACGCTGCTCGCACTCCCTGACCTATTTATTCTCCTTGCACGGGAGAGGATGGGGGTGTTTCATTTTGCAAATACACGTAGCAATGACTGAGGCTGCTTGGAGTCTCTGCGCTGTGGGAGGTAGTGGCAAACACACTGGATGTGGAGGGGATTTTTTAGGAGACTTAGGCAAACACTCCTGCTAATTGATTCTTGACCAGCCGAGAACACTGTTTGCTCATTGACAAAGAAAACAATAATGCCCATAATGAAAGCCAAGCAGGAAAGGGTGGAGTATAAATAACAAACCAGAACACAATGTTTTTCCATTTCTGCTTCCCGCAAGCCCCCAGTCTCTCACAATTTCAATCTAATTTTCCAATGTGCTTTTCCAAACTCTCCTATTTCCCTCTTCCCCAGCCCGGAACATACATGCCCTTCTGAAAACCTATGGCACAGATCTGGCTCCAGCCAGAAACAAGCCCACCAAGATCAGACGTCACTTCTCTGGAGGATTTCCTTCCCTTTTGACTTCTATGACAGCAATAAGCAACATAAATGGAAAAAAAACAATAGGCAAACCCTTTTACGTAACACTTCCTCTACATGGAAAGGCAAAAGCCTATTAGCTGTAAATCAGAGAAATAAAATACCACTGGTATTTTCCAACCTTAAATACCAGCATTACCTAAATCCCACTTCGGTTGGGAAAAGTCTCTTGAGATCCCCTCTGTTGTTTTCCTAACTGCACGTTCTGCTCTGCAAAGTGACTGGTCGCAGGGCAGCGGCTTCATTGATTTTCTATGATTTCCATATGAAAAGTGCTCAGGTTACAAGGAAATGAGGCCACTCCTGCCTCAGCAGGAGCCCTGGGAGATGGATGGGGTCTCCTCTGCTTTAGGAATCATTACCATCAATAAAGGTTCTCTAGAGCAAATTATTCTCTGGATGACACAAACAACCGCTCTCCTTGGCCTCCTACCCTTGTATTGATTTCACAGATATCAGTGTTGGGCCACATTAATCTGTTCTACAGAAGATGCACAAAATGCAATAGGACTTGCTCTCAGCTGAGCTAGCTTTCAGAATTAACAAAAGAAGACAGCAGTAAATGCCATCTTTGGGGCTGGGTTGGTTTTTGCAAATTACTGAAGTCAGCAGACCTGGCTTGGCAGGAAAAACCACTATGACAGCGCCACTTTTATACAGCTCTTCTGCTGGTTACAACTGCGTTTCCAGGCACCGTCACAAACGCGGGCAGTGCATGCAGATGCTTTCCAGGAGCAACAGGAAACGTGGCAGCTTGACAAACCTTGAAAAGGTCAGTACAGTGGATGCAGAGGTTAGCCCACAGCCCTTACCTCCCTTTCCCGGGCTTCAGACATTAACACTGACCGTGGATGGAGCCTGTGGAGCCTGACCTCCTGGTCTGTGCATTCACTCTATCGGGTAGTTCCTTAAATATTTAACAATAAGCCCTCCTACCCACCTGCCAATACAGAAAGAAAAACTGCTTGGGTCTTCTGGAGATCTGTCGGAATAGTCTGCCTCAAATATCTAGATCTCTATATATTTGGCCACTTCTTATACTTGTGGTTCATTTGTTTCTCATTTAGTCCTTGCACATATGCTTGTGCACCTGTATGGAGATGTATCATTCCCTAAGACAGTAGCATCCTCCCCGACACTGCTCCTTTCAGCCAGGACCCAGCAGGATCTCTGCATCCAGAAAACTTGGCCGCTGGGCTGGAGACTGAGGGTCAGGATGGCCCAGAGATGGCAGGAGTGCTGCTGCACAATGCCAAGGCAACAATGCACAATGCCAAGCTTTGAGAACGGGACAAAATGAGGTGCAAGCTCAAAACTGATAACATGTTACGAACATCCCCTGGACCAGTGCGGAGAAAGAATGTATAACAGAACAAGTCTCAGCCAAGGGAATCAAGATAGATCGACCCTAAAGAAACACATCCAAGCAAATGGAGGAATGGAAAGTAGAGGTGAAGGGAAAAAAAAGTAAGAGGAGGGAAAAACCAGTAATTATTTAAAGCAGCAACTGGAGAAAGAAGAATGAAGAACTAGGAAAGGGAATAAAGATTCTCTCAGTACGTACTTCTAAAAAAAAAAAATTCAACACACGTAGAGAATACCAAGTAGGTTGATTTATGTCTCCTTTCCCACATTTATAGATTTGTTCTGTTTCCTTATTATTTTCCCTCATACTTTACTGTTCCTTATCTCCTCCTGCTCTGTCCTTTCTAATTTATTGCTCTTGCACATGCCTCCATCCACTTCTCCCTCCTCTCCTCATCAGCTTATATATAGCCTCCTCCTTCGGCCCCAAAGAGGAGATCTCCCACTCCTTGATGACATTATCTTCTTGCTATACTATTCTTCTTTTGTATTTCCTTCCCATCAACAAGAGGAGTCCTACCATATTACAGACTCACAAAAAAGATGTATAACACCTATCAAAGAAGATCTTAAAACGATAACAAAAAGGCCAGTATGGTTAAACAGTAAAGAAGGCTGTGAGGAATGAAAAACACGTTTTAAAAAGTGAACGTCACAGCTACAGAAGGAAAAAAAATATTATAAACTTCAGCAAGTTAAATATAAACCATAATTAGGCAGACCAAAAGAGATTTAAGGGAAAACTTGCTAAAGCCATCAAAGCTAATAATGGAATACATCAGATATAGGAAACCTGCCAAAGATCCCCTAAGGCAAATAGATGATGGAGGTTTAAAAGTAGTGCTTGAAGAAGAAAAGGCCACAGCAGAAAAGCTAAATGGATTATCTGCATCAGTGCTTACTACAGGGGAACTGAAGGAGGTTGCTACATAAGACTCTTTCCTTAGAGGAGCAAGTCCAAAGCACTGTCTCAAACTGAAGTGGCAGTAAAAGAGACTTTAAAACAAATCAACAGCAAGAACAGTTATAAATCCATTGGGCCTGGTAGTATGCATCCAAAGGAAATCAAATGTGAAGCTGCTATCAGCTGCAGTATGTAGCCTATCATTTAAATGAGGCTGGCACTAGAGAAATGGGAGGTGATGAACATGACCTCATTTGGCTCCAGAGCAGGGATCTGGGGGGCAACAGCCCAGCAAGTCCGATTTCTACTCCAGGTAATTTGGGGAAAACCATAATAAAGACTAGTTTTAGCCAACTTCTGGATAACTATAATCCAACAGAGAAGAACTAACCTTGTATTTTGCGAAAAAAGGTAGTTGGGCAGATCTGTGGTTCTTTGATAGACTCAACAGGTATGCGCTACTGAAACTATGGAAAGCTTTCATGAAAATCCAGATATAGCCCCATCAGTCATCATCATGTACATCAGTGTTGTGCACTTGAACGTTCAAAAAGGCTTTTGATAAAATCCTTCACTAAAGACTACCAATTTCTTAAAGGTATCGTGGAGTAAAAGGGAAGGTCCGGAATCAATATCTAGTTGAAAGACAGCAAGCAAAGAGCATGAGTACGTGAACAGCTTTTACAACTGGAGAATACTGCAAGCAGGGTTCCCAAGAGTCATGCAGTGGCATCTGAGCTGTTTCACGAGTTCACAAAGGATTTTGAAAAGGGAGCATCAGGGAGGCGACATGTTTGCCGATGACACTGATGTGAATCACACTGCAGGAATTAAAGCTAACAACAAATTGTTGCAGAAGGATCTCACGGAATTGAAGGCTAGGCAAGAAGATGGCAGATAAACAAAATTCTGCTACAGGCACAAGTATCAGAGTGTGTACACACACACTGTAAATCTGCATAAATCTGCACAGAGACTGGTATCTATAAATCAGACACTTCCACTCACAATAGGTATCTTGGAGTTCATGTGGATAGTGCTGTGAAAATACCACTCAGTGCTTAGGAGGGGTCACAAAAGGCAAGTGAAAGATCAGAAATTAGTAGAAGAGAACAAAAACCAGAAAGCAGTCCTACATTACTGTGCTGCACATATCTCTTGAAAGGCGATTCTGGTCTCCTTCTCAAAAGGACAGATTAGAGTTTGAAAGCATCCAATGAAGACTGACAAGCAGGATCAGAAATGCAGAACAACTTCCATATGAGGAGAGTTCAGTAGACTCCAGCGTGAAACAGAGACAGCCTTGGGCGAGGGCATAGGAGTAGCGCCATGGAAGGCAGAGGACAAGTGATGAGCTATTGGTTACTCACTACTCATTCAACATACCACAACTAGGGGACACCAAACAAGATGATCAGGCAGAAGGATCGCAGCACACAGCAGAGAAATCTTCATGTGCATACTGTGTAATTTAACGACAGAGCCCAGTGCACAGGATGCTGTAGAAGCCAAAACTATAAATAGATTCGAAAAAGCAGTCAGAGACATTAATGGAAGAAAAGTCCATCAGTGGCTGTTTAAAAGCAAAAAAACCAAGTAATTCTTGACTCAGGAAGCCTTTAAACTGCAGATTACTGCAAGCTGGGAAAAGACTGGAAAGAAGCATCACTGTTGCTGGCCCTGTTCTTACACTGTTTTTCTAGGCATCTGCTGCTGACTGCTCTCAGGGGCAGGCCACAAGAAGAGATGACCTAGCAGGAGTAGATCTATGTTCTTGCCTTCTCCTCAAAAGCCCAGGGCAGATCTCTCTCCTGGAATTGTCCCCAAAAGACCTGAGCTGAAGAGCGAGCCAGCTTGACCCAAGCCATTGAGCCCTGCATACTACCCTGAGCAACATCAAATCCCTACCTTCAGGCAAGGTGTATTAGTTCCAGCTCAGTGCTGCACTGAAGCAGAGGCATGGTTTCTGAATTTGAGCTGGCTTGTAGATGGTCACCTTGCTTTGAACGGAGGTAGGATGGACAGAAGTCCATTTGTGTCCAACTAAGCAGACATAACCTTATCCTTCTCTTCTGCTCCAGACGCCCTGGCACCTCATATCATCCCAAGAGTGCTGCTTACTAGGAGATGTCCTCCTGGCATCTGCTCCAGTTTGACTTCATCATTCTTAAACACGGGTGACTACAACTGTACGCAATGTGATACCAGATGATGCCTGCAACTTGGCATATGGAATTGCCATCTTCCCACCCTCTCTTTCAACAAGAGAGTCATCCAACTTGGAAAGGCATCCGGCTTTCCTCTGAGTGGCCACCGTTAACCAGAAGGGTTTGGACCAGAAGTGCACTTCACGGGGAACGCTGTGCGAGCCCAGACCAGTCACCATGGCTGCTACTGTTTGAACAGCAAACAGCATTTCAGGGAGACAGGCAATGAATCGTGTTGGAGCAAAGAAACCCCTACTTCAGATTTTTTTTGAAAAAAAATCCCACTAACAGAGCTCCAACCACTTCAACAGCGTTTCCTAAAGACTGAAGGGTACACATGAAAAATAATTTCATAGTCTTTAGCGTTGCATAAATTAAACTTTGCTCTGGCCAATAAGTTAGAAAATAAAGCTAAGCAACCCGTGTGCCGATCACCTGCGTTTCTGCAATTACTTCACAATTACACAACTGATGAAAGCAGCTGGAGGCAAATGCAACACATTTGCTAGCAAAACACAAAATGAAACAGTCTGTTTCAGTGCAAAAAAAATATATAAACGAGGTTGTAAAGAGAGCTGTTTGGCAAAGAGTAATCAAATAAAATGAAATATGGTACATTAAGTTTGGCACTTTGGCACTTCACGGCATTTCATTTTTGCTATTAAGAAGATCACTAAAGAAAATTCAATATATTTCGTAGCGTTACTATGGTGTTCTGGAGGGTTGCAACAAACTTTTGCTACATCTTTAAAAAGGAAAGTGTTAGATTATTGGTAAATCTACAGAACTGAAGTTATTTAAAAACAGCGTGTCTTATAAATGCAATCAAGAGAACTAAAGTTTGTGCATAAGCATATAAAGTGCTGACACCTGGTTTTGCACAGTTGCCACAAAACAGAAAGTAGGTGTTATTTTATAATAATCAAAATGTTAATCACAGCAATGCATCAATAGCAAGACTCATGCTAAAGAAAACTATTCCATGTAACAAACTTATTTTAAACAATACAAAAATGCAAGTATTCTCCCATGGTCACTCATACCTGAAAAGGGATTCTCGTGACAGCCAGATTTCATTCTGTTTCACGGTCTTCCAAGAGAAGAGCAGCAACAGTAAAGCAAAGAGCGTCAGAACAGTAATTCTCCACTTATTTAACCATGTAGACAGCTTTTTTAGACCGTGGACAAAAAGGATGCAGTATCCCATACTGGAAAGAAAAAAAAAAAAAAAGAAAGGAAAAGGTACCAAAAGTTATATTCCAGTACTCTGGTTTATATGAAAGACCATTCAGTATTTCATTTATTACACAATTACAGGGGGTTTTGGACTAATTATATTTTCCAGGCTAACAAACTCCAATTCAACAGTAGTTTTCCTCAAGTCACTACACAATTTCCAAATTAATCTAAATGATAGACCTGGATGCCAGAAGTACAGTAGTGTACATAATACCACCCAGCATAATGGTAGCTTACACCATCCCGTGGAAGGCAGCCGCTTTTCTGAGCAGCAAGCTAAGAAAGCATCATGTAATAACAGTAATACTGAGCACTACTGGAGCAGCGTGGAAGCAAAAAGCATTTTAACACATGGAAGTCACTAAACAACCCCAGTGGTGGCTGCTGTTAATTCCAGTTTACGAATTGCAAAGCTGAGGCGGGAAAGCCAGTGTTGTAGCCAACATCGCAGCAGGAGTGGGTGGCAAAGGCCACGTCAAGAGGCAGGAGGCCCTGCCCAGGTCTTGGATGGTCCTCCTGGCCCTTCTGGTGCCTGCCTCAGAACAGCGGGCATGGGCTGGCAGAGCCTTCTTGCTGCCCTCTCATGAAACCACACACAGTCTTCAGCTCCCAGCCTCCTGCCACTTCCATGGCTCTCTGCACATAACTGCTGAGGCATTTTCTGTGAAGCAAACTGCATTTTGAACTGAAGTCTTACTCGTATATAACTTTAAATCAAGTCAGTAATTATTTACCTTAACTGAAGTGTGATGTTAATTCTTTCAATGATGCCCCTCTGAGTTGGAAATGGAGTGCTTTCGGTTGCTGTACTTAGTACACTGCTAATTCTACTTGGCATTTTTAAAAAGGAATTTCAATTCCTATTCCTCAACGAATTTCATTACCTTATCTATAACTGTTTAATGCAGTCACTTAGCACCTGATTAGGTTTATACTTAAAAGCTATCTTAGTCCAGGCAACTTTCCCTGAAGAAAAAAAGGAGCAGAAGGATCTGGAATAACACTTGGGGACCACCAAAACACAGGGACAAAAGAGCAGCCCTCCCCAGACACGGGCACACCTTGAACCCCAGCTGAATCCCACACTCGAACGTGGGCGGGCTGGAGGCAGACAGCTCATCACACCTGCCTGCGCTCCAGCCAGAGATCTACGGGCTTTCCTGGTCTGTACTGAGATGTCCTAGCAACTTCCCAGTGAGACTGCTACAAGGTAAGAAAAACCAAGAACACAATTCCCCTGTCAGAGGTGACCTTTCAAGCAAGCACGCGATATGGTGAAAGTGAATCTGGAAATCAGAAAAAGAAAAACGTCCCATCTCCGAGGAGCTGTGAGCGTGCTTCTCGGCACAGTTCCTCTGCCCTCTTGGAGGGCTGGGCACATTGCTATTGCTTGGGCTTCCTAAGGATGGACAGGGACAATAATTCTTTTTACTGAGGCAAAAAGTGCGTCTGCTGTACGTACTGATCAGCACCAGGCAGTGGTGCTGTCTCTGGCACAGTACGGGTGCCATATAGGATGCTGAAAGAGGTACAGACATACTGGGCAAATCCAGAGACAACATCAGATCTGGCCATCATTCAAAGCTTCTTCATTGTTGTTTTGGAGTTCTCCTGTTTTTCAGAAATGGGTATCAATACTTTTTTTTCACTTAACTATGCTTGCATTTTGCTGCAACACATTTCTCATGGCAATTGCACTGTTTTTTTCCAGGAATTCTTCTGCACACATATGTTTATTGCACCTACATTAACTGCAAGCAGACATTTAGAGCTACAAACCAAGATGCTGGTGCCAAACAATGCAGCCTTTATAGCTATTCAACCCTACTTTAAAACCTCTGAAAAGCTAATCTTGGTAATAAGCCCTCCCTTTCCACTAAGAAATGCTTCAAAAACCTGCAGACGGTTTTCACTCTGTTATTTTGCCTTTCAGCAATTTCATCCTTCCCTTGGAATTAATTATCCGACATAAACATTATTTAATTGCTTTAGCACAAGGCTGTTTCCAAAGGAATTTCCCTA